GAATGTCGATCATCTGATGATCAGGTTAGGAGATTAGATGTTTTAGATTCGACTTATACTAAGAAAGAAATAAAAATCATACTACTTAAGTTGTTAATTATAATAATAACAATGATAATAGCAATTAAAATTTCAAACAAATGAATATAAATGTTTCAAGTTAGATAATACATTACAGTTAATAGAAAATAATATATAATTGAATGAACTATCAAGCACAATTAAATGTTAGAATGGCTAAATAAATTTGAAAATATTCTATCAAAAACATCGAAGAAATCGATAAGACAAAGCTCCTCCAAGTACAACTCCAATTATGTAGTCATAGGATGGCGCAACAGCAATATAGAAGTTTAAAATTAGAAAAAACAAGGGTAGTGGAATTTTGAAATAGTAGAGGGGCAAGCAACTAACAAGTAGGGCCGCAAACAAACTAAGCGGGGTCAGCGTTTATTAAGAGCATGTTCAAGCTCGTCTCAAGCTTGATTCGATCTTTTAAGACACAAGCTCGTTTATAAATAAATTGGCTCGAGCTTCATTTGAACTTGAGCTAAGAGATTATCAAGCTTATTAATAAGCAACTCGTTTAATAAAATAAATGGATCATAATTGATTTTAATCAAGCCTTATTCGAGTTTTATACAAACAACTTGTTGGGAAAAATAAACAAGTCATATCTCATAATGCTCGATACTATCAACAAGTGCGACGAGGTTTTCAAAGACCCATTCTTAAGTAAATTTTGACTTAACTAAGATCGCTTAGTTCTTAATCTTATAAATTGATCAATGAAATGAAGTTCAAATATTTCAACTATAAAATCGAGTAGTATATTTTCGGTAAAAGGACAACCTAAATAGAATATAGTTGGATTCGAAAATTCAGAATAATAAAAAGCAATATTTTTATAAAGTACTAAATTGGAAGATGAATACAAGTTAATAATTGTAACCATAAAACAATTTTTTTTAACTTAGCTTATCATACAAGTTATTTAGTATTTTACAAATTATAGCTTACAAAAATAACATATTAAATAATAATATTATAAGCTTAGTGAGGAAGGAACTTATAAGAATGAATCTAATAAAACACAAATTGATTATTTTCTTGTGAGAAGAATTGATCGTAGAGATGATAAAGATTGTAAGGTCATTCTAAGTAAAAGTTTAGGTATTCAACATCGATTATTGATTTTGTATTTTATGATGAAGAGCCAGAGGATGAAAATACAACAAAATATTAGCATAAAATTATATGAGAGCACTTAAAAATAAATAAATTTTTTTATGTGTAAACTTCAAGATCCTAAGATTTGGGTTGTTCGAGAAGAAAAGTTACAAAAGATGTACTTGGAGAATCAAAAGAAAATATTTTATAAATAAAAATAGTTGGTGGTGGAATAATAATATGAAAAAAAACATAAAACTCAACAAATTTTATTATAAAAACTGGTTTAAATGTAAAAAACTTAAAGAATTGAGAAAAAATTAAGGTGGTCCTTGGAGAGTATAAAAGAGCAATTTGTGATGCTAAAAATTCTATTTTTAGTAATCATTATAATAGATTAGATATTAAATGGAGCCAAAGATATATGTATAAACTAGCCAAACAAAGAAATAAAAAAAGGAAAGATTTAGGGTCCTTTTGGGGCAACTTTGAAGTTGTTACAAAAAAAAAAGCGTTGATATCTGTGATGATTATTACAAATTTATTTTAATTTCAAAATGCAGACCACACTTTAACAGGTAAGGTTGAAAGACAGATTTATACCACAAAAATTTCTAGAAAGTAGCAAGAAAACAAATCTTCAAATAAAATTGTTGTGGCGGTTTGAAAAGCAAAACAACCAAAAAACTGTTCCAAACGGACCCTTACTTCAAGTAAAGTGATTAAAGATGAAAATTGAAATACTTTTCTTAGACGTGGAGATTCAACATGAGCGAAATATTTTGAAAAACTTTTCAATGAAGATTTTGGAAATACGATCAATTTTAGTGATCTTAATATCGTTAATAATAATAAAATTTTTCATTTTCATAATTGTATTAGTAAAATTGAGGTTGAAGAAGCTTTAATGAAAATGATATGCGGAAAATCATTAGGATATAATGGTATTCCACCAAAACCGTAGAAATATTTAGGAGACTTGAGAATTTCTTGGCTTACTAAACTTTTTTATATTATTTTAAAAACTAAAAGTTTGTCAGAGGAGTAGAGGATGAGTATTTTGATCCCTATTTAATAATAAAAAAAGAGGATGCACAAGAGTGTGCAAATTATACAGGAATTAAATTAATGTGTCATACTTTAAAATTATGAAACATAGTAATTGAACATAGGTTAAGACGTAATACAAAGATTTCTCAAAAGTAGCTTGGATTTATGTCAGGCAAGTCTACAATGGAAGTAGGACTGTGAATTTAGCTCAAGGACTATTAATCGGTCAAAAAATGATTCGAATTTTGGCTCGAATCAAGAACAGAACAACATAAATGAGCCAAGATACAAGCTCAAATTTGGATCAAATTTTTTTCGAGCCCGCTACAACTCGGTTCGAAATTAAATCATTAACAACCTTAGTGATATTAGGGCTGTGAATTTAGCAAATTTAACTCGAAGATTGTTAATCACATAAAAATTGATTCAAATTTTGACTCGAATTGAGATCAGATTAAAATAAATGAGCCGAGCTACAAGCCAAAATTTTGGATAGAATTTTTTTAGACAATTTTGAGAAACTTTAGCTAGGCTCGAAATCGGATCGTTAACGACCCTAAAAGGAAGCTATACATTTATTGAGAGGTTTGATGAAGAGGTAGAGTAAGAAATATCTACATATGACTTTTATTGATTTTTTTAAAAAAATTATGATAAGGTTCTAAGAGAAGTGCTTTGGAAAGTTCTAAAAAACAAGTGTTGATATAAATTATATTCAAGTCATTAAAGATATTTATATTAGAGTTTTTACGTGTTAGAAGGAAGATCAACCAAACATTTTTCTATTAAAGTTGGATTACATAAGGGATCGGCTTTCCAGCCCATATCTTTTTGCTTTAGTTATGGATGTTCTTACTAGACATTTACATGAGGATGTACCTTGGCGCATATTTTCCATTGATGGTATCCTTCTGGTGGATAAGACTGGAGAAAGAGTTCAGGAAAAATTGAATTATGGAGATCAACATTAGAGTCTAAAAGATTTTGTTTGACTAGATCTCAAATTGAATACATGGAATGTAATTTTAATAGTAATAGAAATACATTGATTTACGGAGATCAAGTCATTAAAAGGAGTAAACATTTTAGATATTTCAATTCTATTGTTTAAAGCATTGTTGATATAGATGGGGATGTTATTAGTAGAATTCAAGTTGGATGGTTGAAGTGGAGGAATGTATCAGGCCTATTGTGTGAAGAAAAGTACCGCTTAGACTTAAAAGGAAAATTTTATAAGATGGTGGTGAGACCTACAATGTTTTATTGCACAGATGCACAGAATGTTGGCCAATGTTGGCCTATAAAAGAAAGCATAAAACAAAGTTAAGTGTTGCTAAAATGAGAATGCTTATGTGAATGAGTGGATTTACAGTTAAAGACAAATGACAAATGAATATATCCTTGAAAGGGTTGGTGTAGCTCCAGTGGCAGACAAGATTAGAGAGTTATCTTAGAAGGTTCAGTCAAATTAAATGTTAATCATCTTATGATACAATTAGATGAGTAAATGTTTTAGATTTGACTTATGTTAAGAGAGGCAGAGATAGACTAAAAAGACTTGGGCATGTTGTACAAAAAATGATCTTAATTTATTAGAATTAAATGAAAATATGACACTCAATAGAACACAATGGAGTAAATGGATTCATGTAGCCGACCCCACTTAGTGGGATAAAGGCTTGTTATTGTTGAGCCTAAAAATAAACATTTTAACAATATTTTTCATGAATGAGTTATAATTAAGATCTAATCAAGCCTTAATGCGCTTGTTCAAGAACTTTAAATAATATTATTCATGAGCATAAATTGACCTGATAACAAGTTATTCAAACTTGTTCATTTAGTGATTAAGTAATTATGAAAGTGTTCAAGCTTGTTTGACTAGTTAACCAAACGATCATGAACGAGCTTTAATTGAGTCGAGCTGAGTAGCTTATCTAATGCTCAATTCATTTGCGGCCATACTAATATTAAATGTAAATAGTATTTTCATTGTTATGTGATGAAAAAATTTGAAGACCAAACGATCATGAACGAGCTTTAATTGAGTCAAGCTGAGTAGCTTGTCTAATGCTCAATTCATTTGCGGCCATACTAATATAAATGTAAATGGTATTTTCATTGTTATGTGATGAAAAAATTTGAAGAGTATAAAGCATAAAATACATTTTAAGGGATCAAAACAAACAAGATTTTGGATAGTATTTTGACCTTTAACCATACATTGAAGATTCGATCAATAGAAAAATTTGAACACACCATTCTTAAAATAGTGGGAAATTCAAAAAACAAGTAAAATTACTGAACAAAATATCACAAGCACCCAAAAAACATGGATCAAAATGCAATTTTCTAAGAAGGCATGATCTATTTGTTAACCTTAATATGATGCATTCTATTTTTAATTATAGTTTACAGCATCTCTCTTTTGTAAATGTGTTAAAATTCATCAGGGTCAGGATTAAACTGAATTTTTAACCGCATCTAACAAGGAGAAAATTGAACTCTTCAAATAATAAGTCCATGGTCTACAATGGAACTCTATTTTAAATTTATATATACTGTTTGCTACACGAAGTAGCTTCAGAACAAGCAGGTTACCAAAGAGGGCTATTTTCATGTAGATATATAAGCAAATGTCAAAAGGACAAGCATAGTTTTCTCGGGAAAAATATAGCAAGTGCAGATAAAGTAATAATTACAAACCCTTTTGAGGATGGAGAATGCTAACTATCTAGCTAAGCAACAAAAAAATTCACATAAACTCAAATTTGACTTACTTGTTCACATCAGGATGATAGTTCCTGGCTAACTTCCGATATGCTGCACACCCGAAAAAAACAATGATGAATATTGAGATCAAAATACATGCATGATAGTTTATAGCCAGCTTAATCAACAAGCAAAAACAGACTATTAAAACTAGCCATGAATCATTTAAAAAAAAAATTGATTTTGTAAGCCTCCCAAAAGGGCCAGGATCAATATTACAATGACATTAATAATGAAACCCATCAATGAAACTTGAATTTCTAAGTTTGCTCGAATATGAAAGTGGGTAAATCATCTACACTAATTTTTAAGTCATTTAACCTGGCATTCATTAAGGAGGTTGTTCATCCACATGATCACTTTAAATTTTTATGGCTTGTATGTTTTCAATTTTCTTCATCATCTCATCAAATAAAAGTAGGTTATAAAATCCCTATAAATATCCATTAGAATACATACTGACATTTTAGAAATTTCATTACTTGTTACACATCATTTGCAAGATTTGCACAATTTATTTAATTTCCATAAAGTGATTCGTAAATTAATTGTATACAATTAAAAATCTGTTGATGGTGTGAAAAGAGTCATATGGAATTCAAAATAAAAGATAAAGTAATGGTACCTAAATCCTAAAAGGCTTATTACAGAAACCATTAAGATATTAGCTAGTAAGAAAGATGGGGCCATACAAAATCATACAATACACTAGGACAAATACTCGTGAAATGAAAATTTAGAGAAGCTCTAGAAGCATTCTAAAATTAAATATATCTAAATTGACTTAATTTCATGAACATATTGCTAATATTGTAGATTCCTCTAATTTCAACCCTTAAGTGTGCATTCACATGCACCAACTCAACAGACGAATCCAGTCATCTTATTCCAAAAATTATCATGTGTCTAAAATTGATGGTAAATATCACAGCTTTCTTATAACTTGAGATGAAAATTTTACTTGTGATGATTTATGATTTACTAGTAGGAGGCACAAGTTTGACCTTATTTACATTACAAATATCAAATATTTAAAGCAAGGTTGAATGATACAAATTAGAAATTATGACCTCTAATTCTCAAGAAATTTTCTGAAAGCCATTAATTTGTGCCGTCTAGGAAAATCAGAAGTCAGCTAATTAATAGTCCCAGGATTTCAAAAGGAATTCGTCGATTGCTACAATCTCAAAGCCACACTAAGAAATTGATTATTGCTACAATCCCAGTAGCCTTGACATGCAAAACTTGCATACAATGAATTGTGAAAACTTTAGTTTTACATTTGATGATATAAATGGTGAGCAAAATTGGAAAATAAGAATTGATTCCTCTATTTGATGCTAGAATAATTGGTATGTATTGTTTTATTACATTTAAAAGGTTTCTGAGCAATTTCTTATTTTGAACCTTCATGGTCATGTGAAAATCAACAAACATTGAGCAATCAATTAAAATCCCAAGTAGAGCTATCAAAAAAGCTCGTTGTTCGCGAACAGCTCATGTTCGCCTCGTTCATTAAGTAAACGAACCGAACACGAACAAGTTTTTAAAGCTCAAATTGTAAACAAGCCGAACATGTACAGCTATTTGTTCGCTCGTGTTTGACTCGTTTTAGCTCGAAATAAAAAAAAATGTATAACTATTTATATAACAACATATTACATATATTATTTATATAATAATATATTATATATATTTATATCTAAATTTAAATCATAACATCTCATGTGATAATGAGGTTAATACCATCTTTTGTATACATTTGGTTTAGGTTCGAGTCACACACTTTACATCTATTTTTTTTCAATTTAATTATAACGAGCCAATTTCGAGCCGAACACGGGTCGAACACGAACACGAATATTTAAATCGAGTTGAACATGAACACACTGTTCATGAGCCAATTTCGGACACGAGCCGATTTCGAACACGAGTTATTTCGAACGAGCCGAACACGAGCCAAGCCTGAGCTCGCTCAAGCTCGGCTCGTTTACAGCCCTAATCCCAAGTATCTTCAATTTGTGAGAGCATATTATTGAAAATGCATATCCTTAGAGCGCATTGTAGGTCATGATTGTTGCATCTGAGAGCAAATTTCATTGTGTCAATATGAGTTCTAAATTTTCTTTTGGTTGAGATTACCACTGTTTTTGCGATTAATTTCTTTAGTGGTTGATAAGTGCACATAATTAAAGTTTTGTCAAGTACTATGTCTTGCATTACATTTTGTAGTGTGAATCTTGATTGTTGTAAAAATTTTATATATGCATACTATTTTTCTTGTTACATTTTAGGTTTCTACAACCATTATATTATCAAGTGAAGTAAAAGAATTGAATTGTTGCTTACGCATTTAAGATGAATTATGTTTGCTAAAGTTAAAATTTGGAACTATGGATAAGGATTTTTTTTGTTTCCAATATAAATATAATCTTAAATTGCATTAATAAATCCTAGACCCTTAAACATAATATATAAGTTGATGAACTGGTACAAGTACGGCAACAAAAAATTACTAAAGAGATGGTGCAAATGAGGAAAGAGTAAGGTAGATGGAAAGAAAAGCGACAAAGGATGGGTAAATGAAAAAGTGTGCAAGTTAAATCAAACAACTTGAAATTCCCAACAATGCTCCACCATATCTGAAAGATTTCCCTCCCACTCTCATTTTTCTTAAAAAAAGAGCGCAATATAATATGTTTGTGGCACACACTTTACCATATCCACCAGCATCCCCTTCCAAGTATTTATTTATATATGTGAATTCTATGAAATAATTAAAAGCCCGTCACACATTAAAAATCCAAATTAATGCTAAGAAAATAAATTGTGATCTATAAAGCACAACGCCATACTCACAATGTTAAAAAGATTATAAAGAGAAGTAATAAAGGGTTAGTATAAGAGCAAGAAAATCTAAAATCTATTTTAGATGAAACCTTAATAAAATGGTATATGAGTAGTCCTGTTCTATTCCAAAAGCGACTATTTGGTCTTTGAAACGTGATCTTAATCTGGAATGAAATTTCCTTTACATGTGAAAAGTGTCAAGGCTTATCAAAATAAAAAAATAGCCAAATGCTCGAAAACTTACTGCTTAAGATATGGAGTGCCCGAAAGTCAATATTTCAAAGTTCAAAAAGAGAATGTCATGATCAAAAGAATATAATGAATACAGAATTAAGTCCAATAAATTTTTCTATAGTTAGTGTCATGCTAAAAAATCTGAATTTTGGCTGGAGCTTATAAAAAATTGGAGAAATTGGGCCTATGAATCATGATTTTAAAAATCAAACCGGATTAAAAAGATTTAATTGATTCAATTGTGAATCAATTCTCTAGCTAGTTTGTTCTCAGTCTAAATCCATTTTTGCACATAACTGGCTAATGAACCATTGAACCAGCCAAGTTTTCAAAAAATCATCTGATTCTAATATTGATCAAATTTTAAAATTTTGAATTGATCGAATGACTCAAAAAAAAAGATTTAGATTAAAAATAAAGAAAATGATTTATAAAATCTCGAAATTTTGATTTGATTTAAAATCATATTCAAAATATTCAAGAGAGAAATTTCCTGAATTAAAATATTGTACATTAAATTGATGAAAATATCATTATTGTATCAATATAACAACATTGAAAATATTTTAAATAACTTGAATATTTATTATGACATCCACTTCAACCCCCTGATTTAATCTTTAATTGGATCGTTTAACCCTAAATCTCTCCTTCCAATTTAATGTCTAGTACGTCTTTTAAAACTTTGCTATGAATCCCAATCTGCTTACCTAAAGAAAAGCAACTGTTGATGCCAAAAAATTATTCATAGTTCAAAAAGTGTTAAGATAGTTTCCTTGTTAAACTAAACTTTTGCGGTGGTGCTGCGTGCGATAAAAATGCCATATTTGAATTTTGAAGCAGTGACATCAGATACAAGGATTAAAAAAAAAAAGAAAAAAGAAAGATCATATGGAAGATTTTGATGCAAAGGAAAAAACCCAGGTGATAATAATGTTGGAAGTTTAACCCATGCAGATTTGCCACTTGGCTGCCTTTTTGTCAACATGGAATTACAGGTTTCTACACTTACCATTTTCTTTTTGCTGCAGCTGATATTTTCTTTAAATAACTAGATTCTGCTGCAGTGTTTACTTCCTGGATTGTAATGCATAATTTTTTGCTTATTTCCAGCACACGTAGGGTGTCCAGCTACAATTAATAGTGTCCTCTTTAACTTCTTTACATTCTAATTTATTTCATAAACTAACTCATGTCGAAAAAAAGCAGCATCAAACACTCTTTTCGCAATTTGTGTAAGTAAAGTTTAATTTAGGTGTATTTGAAGAATTTCCTTTCTTGTTGTATTTCTCTAACATTATATATATTTATGTACCAGTTAATTGATGAATAAAGCAATAAAGAATTGTTCTCCTCCCTCTGTCTCAGATTCTCTTCAAGGACTAATAACCTTCTTTCCTTCTTTTTCACGGCGTCATGGTAAGGTTGTTCTCATCTTATGTTCAAACATTTGTATAACCAAATACGTTATGGAATCTGGAGAGAAATCCTCCACGTCGATACTCACCTCTAATCGAAACATTCTCATCCCTCAACTCTCAAATGCGTTGGCAGCTTAATCAGGATCATAGGTCACAAGTTAAAAGGCCAGAATTATCGTCAATGATCATAATGTTGTATCACAAGTTGTCAGATCCCTCATTCTCAGCGGCCATGTTCCCAAATATTTTTTAGCTTGTGGTTGTACTGACTACAGCCTTTCTCAAAAATAGAATGCCCTCTTGTATTCTCAACTTCTCAAACCTATTTCCAGCCTCTAAAAAGTCCATCCCAAAACAGAGTTCATCTCCAGTCTTCTCCTAAAAATCATTGGATACTCATCCTATGCCTACATTCGTCCAAATAATAAAAGCAAGCTGGATCTCAAAACTATCAATTTCATTTTTGTTGGGCATTCCAAACAAAAAGCTACAAATACTACTGTCGTACAACTAAATACTCCATGCATATAACCTTCCTTGAACAACAACCACTACTTCCCGAACTTGATATTCACAAGGGGGATCTTACCAAAGAGAGTCAATTTAAAAATCTTATTACTGAAATTCCTATCACTAATTCCTTTCGACATTCACAAAAAACCACAAAAATCCTGTTACCAATTTGTCTTCCCTTCCTTTCACGCAATAACATGACACAGGCTCTAGAAGGAAGCAATAACATGGTCATCCTGCATACCAAAGCAACACACAGAGTCAGAACTTAATCCAATCTCAGTTGGAACACCACAAGATGACAGGGATATTGAACCCTGAATAGTGAACCCTTTGTGAAGGCCTTGAAAAATCTATTGCATTAAGAATACGTGAAAGTAGTTACACCAATTATCCTATCCACACTTTCATCTCCTATGCTAATCTCTCACCTACAATTTAAGTTTTCATCAGATATCTCACTCAAGAACAAGTTCCTAAATTCATCCATGATTCCATCAACATTCCTAAATGGAAAACAGTTTTCATGCAGGCTCCAAAGAAAAACAAAATTTGGGAAAGCTCAAATCTACACCCAATAAAGAACCACTTGGATGTTGATGGTTATTTATTAGGGTTTAGGGTTTAGGGTTTAGCTTGATGATGATTTAAACACGAAACCCTGAACCCTAAACCCTAAACCCTAAACCCTAAATTATTTTTTGCCATCTCCCAAAAAATACAAACGGTGCTTGTCCAATTATGTTGCCTCCATGTGACCACAGCGAGCAACTGCCCAACAAACCCTACCATGCCCGTGATAATATGCATACAATTTAAAATTCAAAAAATCAATATAAAATTGTTTAGTTCTCCAAATATGACCATGTAAAAATTTCAAATCAATCTGCAATTCAATAATGACAATTTCATATCTTATACAATATTACATCTATCACAACAGTACCATCTAAAATATATTATTGATGTTACTTCAATATCAATATGATTTTTCAGTTTATGCGCACGAGTACCTTAGCATCTCCAACTAGTATAATAATGAGGTGAACTCTATCATTAAAATGCACATATAAGTATTCATATAGATCATTTTATTTGCATTTCAAATATCATTCCAAATCTTTCTAAAATTAATTTTATATAATGTAAGACAAGTAGTTGAAAACATAACAAGAAATTCATCTTGTTCACTTCAACATAATCAATCTATTTCATAGCAAAAATGAATCATAAACGAATTCTCAACAACAGTTAACTAGATAACTAGCAATATTCATTCATGCATTTGATTTAGAAGATGCAATAAAATTATCATAACTTAGAAACTTGACTGCTCATCTCAATATCCGACAATTTGATTTTTCGTCATTTTATTCTTTAGACTTTGTTTCCTTCAATTTGACACATAATAATGTAAAGGATAATTTATTTTAGTTATACATATTTTCTTTTATTATAAGTTGATTCCCTTTATTCAAAATAAGTACCCTTCTATTATTTAATTATATAAATAAACATTATGTTTTGAATCATCTATTTTCTTTATAAACATAGTATTATTATTAACTTACAAAAAGTGATTATACTACTAAAGTCATATATAATTTTATATTTATAGATAATAGCATACCCTACTATATATATGTATATGCATTGCATTAATTAATCTATATTATATTTAATAAAAAAATTATTACTCTAGTTTAAAATTTTAATATTTTACATTTTATGAGGTATAATAATTATAGGATTTATCTTACTAAAATGTCTTGCTATATAATTTAAAATTTATCAATTATTTGTTTAAATTTAATAATTTCTATTAATAACCTAGAGGTGCAAAAACTTAAATTTAAGTTTATCTTCATATCTTATTATTTCTTCGTTAATCAGTTTATTTTAATTTTATTTAAAATATTATTAACCATTTAATATTAATTTTATTTTTTTAGGTTATAATATATATACATTTTATTTATTTATTATTATTTTTCTTCATCCTCACCAATAAAATTAATAACTTATGTAAGAAATCACACACAAATTAAACTGTTAACCTTATTTTATTTAGGCCGCTCAAATTGGATTGAATAGCACGCAAGTGATCTCCTTGGACCTTTCAGTGAATTATTTCACAGTTTAACCATAGAAATTTATATGTATATAAGAGGCTTCAAATCATATGGCGAAACAACTGGGTGATTTTGTAGACCTCTAGCTCCTATAGACCAGTCAACATCAAGAAGGTTTAGAGTTTGTTTTAGACCATCTCTAAAATCTCGACATCAAAATATAGTTGGAGTCAATGACTCAATTGCTTAAATAAAGCTGCGAACCATATAAATAGATGCTGGAATAAAAATGAATATGTCGAAAATTTGCAAAAAAAAAAAAGAACTTACCGCTTTTTATTTCAGATTTTGAGGCATTCTTGGACACTCCAAGTACAGAGTAGTAATCCTACATAAAGAAAAGTCATCAGCATTTTGAAAAACCCCCAAATATCATTTTTTAGTTTTCTGTAACCCATTCTTATGAAAGTAACTTTTTATTTCAGATATTAATTTTGGCTTAGTGTACATTTTTTCTCATACCACTCGGCTACAAAATTGTAGTTTTTTTTCGTACCTAAATATTTCTTTTTCAAATCATCTCAGTTATTCTCTATCACTTGCACTAAGATGCATTTACTAAATTTTTCTCTCTAATATAGCTATTTAGCATACTATCCAAATTATTTACCTTTTTACATCATTTTAAATACAAACTCCGTTCTTTATTTGGATTACCCTATGATAAACATTATTGAAATTATATAATTACTATCCTTCTGAATCTCTCAAGTAAAACTTGTAAGAAATTATCCGTCCTCCTTAGTGGAAATCATGTATTTCGCTCCTCGAAAACTCCATAGTCAATACGAGTTCTCCTTATCCTATGCTATAGCCATCCTGCATATCTCTTTCCATGAGTCTTTGAAATTACTACCTAGACTACGAATTATCTAGAAATACTAAGTATAACTTTATGTAGTTTAATTACAGACTGCCCGATAAATTGTTAAGTATCACAAATTTATAAAAGCTCATGAACAAGAATTAATATGAGATGAATAATAGAGGAACATGGAGTATGACTGGCACTCACTGCATCGGCTCTAACAGTAAGCCTGGCACCTCTTCGTTGGCAATTATTTTGCAACAGTCCATTGTTAAATAGAGAAGAAGGTACTTTGGCGAAGAAATCTGAAAAAGTTGATGCAAAATAGTTTTTCTTGGCCAAGGCGCTGCACATGTAGCATAGCAAGTAAAAAAAAGGAAATAATTTACAAAAAAATTTAGTATGGCAAATCCTTTCCAAACCTATTAACTAGGAGGATAAGTTACATCTGTAATCATTTCATTTGAAATTCCTAATGACCACCCGAGCAAATTTAATTAGCATAAAGTTCAAAGCAATTTTAAAACTCTTAACTTTATTAACTAAGTTCTTTGAAGACTTACATAAAAAAGGCATAATTAAGGTTGGAGCTAAGAAAACGGTTACCTAGGAATATAAAAGCAAAACAACAAATTACTGCACTATCACAGGATGGACTGCAATTACACATAAGAGAACAAAAGATTTTATAACATTGAATTATATCACCATTGACAGATTCCCTTCAAAAGTAAGTTGCCAATGCTGCAAAAAAAAGGACACAAGGCCCCATACACAGGGTTTACCATACTGTTACAACCACTAACATATGAGTTTAAAGAACAAAAAATTTTAATGCTTTATATATCCCGGGTTGCCCTAGCCATACTCGCATCTATGATTCATCACAAGATTTACAAACCTAACTAGATACATACTCTTTAATCAAACAAAGCAATAGATCAACCGAACTCCTATTAACTACCTAAATTTGTCCATCAATTTGAAGATGATAATAAATTCAAACTTTTAGTTATGTTCAAATGTTTTTCACCGAATTTCCCTAACATAACTCATAAATTTTACATCCTTGTCAAAAATAATTTTAGACAATCCATAGAGTTTAAACACTTCTTTAAAATATAATTTTGCAGCATTAGATGCATCAATAATTTTATAATATGAAATACAAAAAGCCACATTTTAGAAAAACAATCAAATTCTACAAATGTATTTTTTTTTATGTACACGATAAAATTATGTACACATTTAACTAAATGCAAATATGACACTAAATAGGACGCAATGGAGAAAAAAGATTCATGTAGCCGACCCCACATAGTGGGATTAAGGCTTTGTTGTTGTTGTTGTTGTACACGATAAATATGTAGCAAAGTCCATGATAATACTCACAAAGCTTAAATATGTAAAGAATAACGAAATCAAATACTATTTTATTTTATTTTATCTATTGATAAGTACTATTTTGGATTGTAATTCTAACAACATCTTTTAGACTTGATCAATAGTATCTATTCTCAGTCATAAACATAGTTTTTATATCAACCAAAATGTTATTTTTACCACGCATCTAACTCTAAAATTATATAACAAAATAGAAATGTCCTCATAAAAAAAAACTTTCAAAAGTAAATCAAGAATGCATAGAAATGTCCTCATAAAAGAAAAATCATGCTTAAATATTAATTTTTTTGCTAAACACATATAACTTATTATTTAAGAAGTATATGTTTCATTTAAATATTTAAACTAGCCAATCTTACCAACACATTTTTCCTTTTCAGTTGTTTTATTTCTCAATTCATATCTACCAAATCTATTAGTATAAAATGCGTTCCAAGAAGACTTATACTTTTTGCTTTGAATTAAAAATTTAATGATATTAATATAAGTTTAAGATTAACTTATACTTTATTTGAATATTAGTATGATGAAAAATATAATTGTATGTACTTGATCAATCAATAGGCTTAACAAAATATTTATCCTAAGAATTTATCAATTTTGTTAATTTATTATTCAATTATTTCTAAACAACATTAAAATCTAAAAACGAACTCACGTGCTCAAAAACAATTACCCGCGTATTATGATAAACTTTGAATCTATACTGACTAGATATTTTATTAATATAAAATTATGATAAAAATATAATGACACTCTATTAATTTTTTTTTAGTTGACAAAAATATTTTATTTCATCGTATAATTTCATATTATATGTGCTTCATCAAGTTTTACACTTTTTATAATTATTATTTTTTATCTCAAAAAATTCATAATACTATGAAAATGCATATCCATGATCACAGCCTAGCATCACAAATGGAACCTTGCTTACAAACTACTTCATGCAGCAATAAATTTTGGCCATCATTGTGATGTTTCAATGGTACACATTCTTATGCAACGCATTAGAGAGCATATGTAAGTTAGAATATTATATATGTTGTGTATGTTAGCATAGTTTGTCATGGATTATATGTTTGTTATGCGAACGTTTATTATGTTGCTTGTATGTTGCCACATTACATATGTTCTATATGTTAGTATATTACATATGTGCGCATGTTTGCAGTGTGTATAACGTAATAATGTATGCTATGTATGATATGTTTATATTATGTGCAGGTTAATTGTACATTCTACATGTTAGCATATTACACACACGCACACAAATATATATCTATATAATATGTTAGAAGTTATTAGTATTTGTTTTTTTCCTTTTCGGATATTTCCTAGTCTATGTATTTACTTATTTGTGCATTTCCTAGTTTATGACTTCCATTTTATCTCTAGGCAGTTATTAGGAATTAATTTAATCCTAGAGATTTGGGTGTAGGGTGTTTTGTCTTTCTTATTTTAAAACTCTTGTATCTTGTATTTATGCCAATTTTAATATCAATAAAATTATCCTGCTAAATTCCAACATAGTATCAGAACCAATGGATCTTACCCTAGTCACCGGGATTCCTCTCCGGTCATCGGAATTGTCACCTGCTAGACTATAGCTATCAATCCTCCCCTTCTCCAACCGCAAGACGCCCTTCCTACACTTGGAATTCCAGCTGGATCATCCCAAGACCAGCATCTGGTGGCTTGCCCGCAACCGACACCCTTTCCTACAGCCGGAAATCTACCCAGCAAGACATCCTAAGCTAGGGTTCTTACCAAGAATAGTAGGATCTCCATTCTTTTCGGCTGGAATCCCTTTCCTGCAACCTGACCGGCATCCTACCTGACAGGGCCTTTTTTTTGCTGAATTTCTTCTTGCAGTCCTAGTTTATTGATATCCTTGAAAGGAATCCTCTCCTCCCATGTCTCAGCATCTCAACCTCTCCTTTGGCTCCATCGTGGCCATAGCTGAATCCTCCACCACGGAGCTTTCATCTGACACGGTTCTTGAATCCACCGACGGATCATGCCTACTTCAATCCTTCCGCAGACCGAAAAACCTGAAAAACCACATGAATTTCCTGATTATCACCCATATACTCAACGACTTTAATTTCCTCGATGTTCTCAAGGTGTGTCGTTGTTCGTCAAAGATCAAGGTAAATTCAGTCGTCTCACAGGTATGATTCTTGAATCTCCGAAGAATGACCCAGCATGTGCAATGTGCGAAGTCGAGAACTCCATAGTCATTTCATGGCTGATTAATTCAATGGAGACCTTGATTGGTTGTTCGTACCTATTTCTTCCATCAGCACATGCCCTTTGGACTGTCATTCGTGACACCTCATCGGGGGTAGGTAATTTTGAACAATTCTATGAGGTTTCTAAAAAGATCCGCGAGGCGAAATAGGGATCAAAGACGGTGACCCAGTACTACAACGACTTGGTTGCATTATGGATGGAATGTGATCTCTGCTATAACTACACTTGGGACCCTCCTGCAATTTTTTTTCCCTTTAAAAAATTTTGGAAAAGGATCGTGTTTCAATTCCAGGTAGGCCTGAACAAAGATCTCGATGAAGTCCGCAGTTGTATACTTGGATGGGGATGCGATTACCTTGCTTCAACCTGAGCAACATTTATTGAGATTCACCGCAAAGAAAGTCAGAAGAATTGTCATGCTTGGCAATATCATTCCTTCAGCCAAGTCTTCAGCCTTGGTCCAACAGTACTGCACACTCAGCCACGTCATTGCGAGCTACTCACTCTACATATGATTTTTGTCACAAACCCTACAATGCCAGTGATAAGTGTTGAAAGCAACACAAGAAACTGGTAAATAAGCCTTCGGTCAAATCTTTTGCTGTTAAAGGTCTTCCTACGACCTCAAAATCTGCAATAGTTCAGTCGACCCCTACTTGAACCATCCTCAAATCAGTAAACTCCATCAAGGGTCAGATGGAGCACTTGACTAAATTGCTTGGGTCTAGTCAGCTTTTCTCAAGCCCATCAACCTCTCATGTCCACCAAGGTAACATCTCTATGACACTCGTTGGTTTTGCATCTTCTAGCCCATGGATTCAAGTGTCATGGACCACATGATCGAAGTTTCTCATTTCTTCTCGACATATTCTCCTTGCTCCGGACGAGATACAATTAACATTCTCGACAGCTCTTGTAATTCCATTGCGCGTAAAGGGTTGATTGAACTTGTAGTCAAACTGACTTTAGAATTCGTGTTGCACATTTCTTTACCTAAATGCAACATCTTACCGATCAGAGACGACACAAACACTCGGCCTAGTAGCTGTAGTTTCTCTTTCTACTACATGTTCTATTATGCTTTTATATTGTAGTTGTAGTTTCTCTTTCTACTACATGTTCTACATCCAAGACTTCATTATTTATAACATTTGTACCCCTTGATGTTTACTAATAAAATTCATCTTTTTTTACATGTGAAATTTGTCAATTTGCTAAACATCAACATTTAACATATCTAACTCATCCTTACAATCCTTCCTCTTTTTTTTTTCACTTATTCAAAGTGATTTATGGGGACCCTCTCGAATTGTGAGCTAAACCAATAAAATTTGATTTCTTACTCTAACTGATGAGTACACTCGGATGTCCTGGGTCAATATTTTAAAATATAAATATGAAGTTGCCGCCATTTTTAAAAATTTCCACTACATTTTAACCCAATTCAAAACGAATAGTCAAGTTCTTCAAACGGACAATGATCGTGAATACTTTAACTCTATATTGGGAGAATTCTTGGTGAGTAAGGGCATCCTCCATTATAGTTCATATATGAAAACCCCTCAACAAAACAGGATAGTCAAGCAGAAAAATAGACATCTTCTTGAAGTTGCTCATTCAATTATATTTCAAACCAATGTCCCTAAACAATTTTGGAATGATGGAATCCTCACTACCAACTAACTCATCAATAGAGCCCCCACAAAAATCCACAACTTTCAAACTATCTTGATGCCTTATTTTCCTCTCAACTGATCCTTCTCCACATTATGCAAGACCCCTACACCCACCATCTCACTGTGGTTCATCAAATCTTTCACTATTTAAAAGGAACATTGGGCTCAGGTTATTTGTTCACTCATCACAGCTCCAGCTCTGTTGCACTTTATACAGATTTTGATTGGGTCGGGTCCGTCCATCATAGAAAAACTGCCTCAGGTTATTGCTCCTTCATATGTGGAATCTTGCACTTGGAAAAATAAAAAAAGTTGTTTGTGGTCGCTCGTAGTAATGTTGAAGTCGAGTCTCGCTCCATGGCTTTGGGAGAGTGTGAAGCCCTCTGGTTGCACATTATGCTCACTGAGTCACATATGTCAGTCACTGCTCCTCTCCATCTGTTTTGTGACAATAAATCCATCATTAGCATTGTTCGTAATCCGGTCCAACATGATCGAACCAAGCAATTGGAAATTGATCACCACTTTATCAAGGAGAAACTTGAATCTGTGGAGATTTGTTTATGTTTGTTTCATCTATTGGATAATTGGTTCCTATTCTCACAAATAATCTTCCTCGTCTGTTATTTGCCGACTTCAAATCCAAGTTGAACATGATTGACATCTATGTTTCATTTTGAGAGGCAGTGCTAAAAGTTATTAGTGTTTATTTCTCTCCTTTTCGGATATTCCTAGTTGATGTATTTCTTGTTTGTGTACTTCCCGGTTTATGATTTTTCTTATATTTCTAGATAGTTATTAGGAATTCATTTAATCCTAGAGATTTGGGTGTTATGAATTTCCTAATTTATAACTCTTGTATCATGTATTTATACCCCTTTTGATACCAATAAAATTATTTTGCTAAATTTCAACATATTATGTAAGCATGTGAAAGTGAAATGAGAATGTTATTTATAATGGCATTAGATCAAGAGATGGAGGAGATGCGATGGCTTTTGATTGGGGAGGGTGCAACTTCAAAGTAATCAAATTGACGATAACAAAAACTATGTGATCCCAAAATTTTAATCAAATATTTATTCGTGTGAATTAACAAAATAATTTTGAATTTCTTTGATTGTCGAAATCAAATGAATTGAGCCAAATTCACTTAAACTCTGATTTAAATTTTCTTTAATTTTAATAAATAGTAGTTTAAAACTATTTAAGGGTGTGAAACAAGATTATTAATCTTGATATGAATTTAATCATACATCCAGTTAAAGATTATAATTTAGTTTTGTTTTCATAAATGCTAACAAATTAGAAGTATATAATCTGCCAACATTTATTTTATCATGTTGAAATCAATTTCTAATGAATACCGACACTTTTTTTTTAATAACTTGCAAGAATGTTCCCCAGACATTTTGCAATTACCTTAGTCTTTTAAAAAAACTTTTGGGCAATTTTCCAAACATTTATTACAACAGGCCCAAGGCCAAAAAGTGGGACAACTCTCCAAAAAGGTATCATAGAGTATTCCTAATCAGATATAAGCAGAAAATTTACATATCAAGAAACATCACAATAAATCCTTTGAGAATTAAAACTAATGAAAAATAAAGAGAGAGGTTGTGTTGTCCTAACATATTTTCCTAACCACTTTCATTTTTCTGTAGCTATCGTTAGGTTAGTGAAATTTCAATCAAAAGTTTATTAGTTCAAATATCATAGACATTCATTACAATCTTAAATTTATGGATCCTTAAAATAATGAAAAAAAAAAAAACAATATGGTTCCCCAACCATTTCCAACAAACCTAAATGATTTCAGACTATATAAAAAGCTAATTTTATCCTGAGATTATTTAAATATAAACTAAAACAATCCAGACTCTTTAAAGGTAAACTAAAACAGTCCCGGCAAAGGACCCTTTTAATTATTTTTAAATAATCTAGGAACTAAACTGAAATCATTTTCCCTTTTAAAAAAAAAATCGAGTGTTCTATTTTAAAATTTAAAACTTTGAATTGACTACATTCTTATTTCTTAATAAATTAATTATAGCCCTATACATTTCCAGCACTTGCGCTTTTAATAGTGTCCAAAATTGCTAACGTAAATTAGCTACTCGTATAGTGCATCTCAGCAAGCTGAGAGGTGACAAGTGTATTTTGTCACCAGGCAAGCCTCCCAATGCATCCTAGTACCCTACATTTCAACAGTATCCCCATCCTCCAAAAGACCTTGCCCAAGTGATCCACAAGCTCCAACACAAACAAAAATATCAATCCTCTCAATTGGCAATATGTTCAAAACTTTCAATCAAAAGGATACCCTATGTAGAAGTTCAAAATTTTGATGTTACCTTTTAGCATAAAAACATCTAGGAAAGGAAAACATTCACCAAGTAGACAACCAAACAGCGATTATGGGACTTTACTTTACTCTTCTTCTAATAACCATTCTCATATCTCTAATAGGTTTTTTAGGGAAATAAGGGCCTCTGTTTTCACCTGCAAAAAAATTTATAGAATCTGAACCTCCGTGTATATCTAAACCAAAAGACTCAACATTAAATACAATTTTAAATTTTCAAGATCAACTAATCCTCAAACTATAGAATAGAAAGAACAGAAGAAAAGAGAAATATTCACAACCTAAGTTTCTTTCAAAGGAAAAATAGGCCATTGCTCTTCCAACCCTTGACTTCACAAGCTTTGAAGCAGTCTCAATTTCACAGATCTAACTAGATTAAGCAGCCTCAACTTAGTTCATCTCATAGCCAATCTCCTTCCCTAACAAGCCTTCCAGATATAATCCTGCTAGCAACAGCACTATATACTGCCTCCCCCCTGTTGCGCCCAATGACAACCACTACCAATAGCTGCCTGCATAGTGCTACCACCTGACGTACTCCGTATAGGCCTGCCAACTAGCTCTGTCAGTCTTGCCATGGCAACTCCACCTGATGGAAAGCGTGTAAGTTGTACGATCTTACATCGCAACAATCTGCACCCTCCTAACTTCCATATGCAGTCACCAACATCTATTAGAAAGATTTTAAATTTAAAATTCATTGTAATTGTGTAAGTAGCAAATTCCTATTTCTCCCTTTTTATTGGATATATTTCACCGAAAAATATTATATATATACTACAATTTAGAATAAGAAAAATAATGTAGTATTACTTTATATTTTTCAAAACTTAAAGGCTACTAAAGGATTATGTGACTGATAGCCTGAAATTATTTTATAAATTTAATTATAGTCAATATTGAATTTTTTATTAATCATGCACTACATGTTTTTTTGTTAGAAGAGTTTCAAAAAATAATTATCAAGTTCTTTATTTGTTTTACCATACTTAAATTGCAATATTCCAAACATTATTTATTGTGATCAACTTTAAAATACTTGACAGTCTACAATGAGCACAAGCTCTTGTTGTCTTATATGTGCTTCTATGAACAATATGAAACATTAGCATGCAGCAAGCATCCACATTAAATACTTCACAATAAATAAATTGAGATAAGACTAATGGGTAAGGAAAATATGCAATGTAAAGTGCACTATAGAACCCAAAAAAGAGTAATTACCCGAATTGATAGCGCAACAGCATATGAGGTAAACCACATGCTTTTGCTCTACCAGATGAATAACCAAGTGCTAACCGGGGCCGAACTCCCAAATAAGGTATTGAAGTGCCTCCCAAAGGTATAATTGCCATCTAAATAAGCTTTAAAGTAGAGTGAAACAATTTAGTTACAGACTATTAATAATATGAAAATTGCTGCACATTATCTACAAAATTGGAAGCCACCAAGTCAATGAAAACATAGAAAATGCATAATTTTTTGTAGAAAAACACAGAATCACACATTATCTAGAAATTTAGAACAAACAAATTAGCGAAATCATAGATAGCTACAAAGAAAAAAATATTTCTAAAAAGAATAAATAAAACACCATGTATTATCTTAAATGTTTAATAAAACTTCAATGTTAACAACCCTTCTAAACTTCTATGAAAATATATAGCAAAACACAATAGTCAAGTAGAATCATTTCCCTTCTATGAGTTATTTTATATTCATATTCCATTTCATCTTGCATTTACATTAGCAATAAAATTTATCATCAATTATCCTTCTCATTTTTTTTAATTTCCATTGTCAATAGAATTCCTAATATTACTCCAATTCCCATTAATCAACAAAAATTTTTACAACTCCAATTTAAGCCCAATGTAATCTCACACTGTCCCTTATATTGAAACCTCTAAAATATTGGTCCTTCAAGTTCACCTGTGCTAGCAACTAGAACAACAAATACTTTAAACTAGAACTTTATAAAAGAATAAACTTCTTAGCTTTACTTGTGCCTCATTAAATATAAGAGTTAGTGCAATGGAAAAGGTAAAAATTTTAAGGTATTGACTAAATAAAGAAATAAATTAAACTTTATATAATAAAACTTGCGTTGAGCAATAGTTCACCAAGGTTCTGATGGAAACCAATGGTGTGGAAAATTAAATGAAAGTTATGTATAATTTGAGCACCAATAGATGCATTCAAATGTATTGCAAAGCTTGTTAAAACAAAATAGATATTATAAGAGAAGTAATGTCCAAAAGGTTTCATTGGCTTGAGTTGATGGAAATTGCTCCTAAAAACGTTTCTAAATGTATCGCATTGACCAGGCACATGCATACGCCCTAAATGTTTTTATTATAGGAATTGCATTTAATGTGTCCAAAGGAATTCCATCCGTTGAATTGATGGATAAACAAATACAGTAACCCCATGAGAGTTGCCTAGTTAAAAGAAAATGGTTTACAGATTTTTCTTGTACCACACCACAGTCTTGCAGATATAAATTTGTGTGAAATATGTTTAGATATACAAGGTATATCTAAATTTTACACTTCAGCATTAGCAAATTAGTAGTTTGAACAACATCATGCCTAACCAAAACACAACCCTCTTATATGGACTCAATTGAAGCAAGGCATTGTTTCTTCTAATATAATTTGATTAATTTTATTAACTAGCCAATGTATGTGTACTAGTCATTCGTGTGACATACCTGCTTTAAACATATATTGATATTGGGTTCACCACCATTCTACCAACACCCAAAGAAAAAAAAAAAAAAACTAAGCATCCCAACCCTACTGTGTTTTTTTATTATAATTTAATAAAATACTATAATATGACTTATTTTATGAAATGTCACATTTTATCTGCATAAGCTATTTTTAACTATAAAACTGCTGCATTTGAATATATTGATATAGTTTTTTCTATCGTTTCTTCTTTATCAGCACAAAATCAAGTATATCTCAACATGTTACCTTAACTATTCATAGGTGGTCAATGTAGTATCTTGATCATATAAAATTGATCAAAATGGCCCCTCAGGGACTAAATTGGGATCAATTTTGTGAACTCAAGGAGCCAAACTGAGAACAATTTTGTTTCACAATCTCTAGAAAAGAGATAATTTTGGAATAATTTTGTATGCATGTGCTAAATTAAGAAAATATGATACTATCAAGCTAATCTAACTACATATGAAGAGTTGACAACCATTTTGGGATTTAACCCACATAAAAACACCAATAACAATGGTTGAACAAGTAATTAAAATGAGCGAACTTTTCAAATTTTTTAGGTCTATTGTTCAAAGTGATCTTGTTATAGATGGGGGTGTTATTAGTAGAATTCATGTTGGATGGTTGAAATGGAGGAACGCATTGGGTCTACTGTGTGATAGAAAAGTAATGTTTAAACTTTAAGAAAAAAATTTATAAGACGGTGAGATTTGCAATGCTTTATGGCGTAGAATGCCAACCTGTAAAAAAGAAGTATAAATTAAACTGTGTTGTTGAGATCAGAATGCTCAAAAGGATGAGTGGCATTACACTTAAGAGACAAAATGTGAAATGAATATATCTGTGATATGAATATATATGAATATATCTGTGATAGGGTTTGAGTAGCTCCCGTGGCTGAAATAATTTTAGAGAGTCACATTGGATGATTAGATCACATTAAATGTTGGCCATCTGATGACTCAATTAGGAGAGTAGATGTTTTAGATTTGAGATATGTTAAGAAAGGTAGTGACAGACCTAAAAAGACTTGGACTTCTTGTATGAAAAATGATATTAATTTATTAGATTTAATTAAAAATATGAGCTCAATAGGACCCAATGAAGAAAAATAATTCATGTAACTGACCCCACTTAGTGAGACAAAAACTTGTTATTGTTGTAGTTGTAAAAAAAGCAATAACAACTTTCTTAGGTATGTCCTCCATCCTATTTTCTATAAAACCCTCTTTGCGGTGGTAAATAAAAGATAAAAGAAAATAAGATCAAAAGAGCATACTTTATTGAGTTTACTCAAGAAGTGCACTTCAAAAGCACTTGTTGAAGGTGGTTGGGGTACAAAGGTATCCTATTTGAGCCATAAACTTTCTTCCTTCCATGACATACATACCTCACCATGCAATCCACATCCCAAACTAGCTAGAACAAAAACAATGCTTATTGCTTGAATAACTCAACTGCTTCACCCACTTTCAATTAACCAACAAAAAATAGTAATTTGTGAATAGAAAGGGATGAATCATTAACTGATTTGCTTTTTAGCTGTTGGTGCACTACAACCCTTAGGGTAGATTGTTAGTAAATTTAATTATGCTACCACTCCCTCAAAATAGTGGGGAACTAAAAAGAAATTGAGGAATGAAAATGGATTGAATATAAAGATTAGGCCCAAGGTAACAACTACAAAAATAGCAAACTAGCACTTTGAACAAAATCACGATTACCATTGAAATTGACTCAATAAGTTTTAATGTTTATTGTAACATGCATTGTACTAGACTTGAAGAATTATTGCACAAAATCAAAATAACTCTTATTTGACAAAATGGAGGACAGCCAAATCAGCTATACTTGCTTAACTTAACTAATGCCTTGGGAATAAGCATCAATCATTGTGTTTGTATCAAGAATTATGATACACCGCCATATCATAGCCCTCAGAAGATTTGCAGTTTGAACTTCTTAGGGCACATGATCATGCATCAATCATTGTGATACACCGCCATATCATAGCCCTCAGTAGATTTGCAGTTTGAACTTCTTAGGGCACATGATCAAATGGAATCACAACTCTAAATCTTCACGTATCGAAGCATGACATTGAATTTAAGCTCTCACCTTCAATGCAAAGCTTTATGCATCTCTTTCTCTCACACACAATACACATAAGTGTACACATACTCATACATATAGTTTAAGATTTCTCAACAAAATAGAGACACATCAGCTAAAGAATTTTACTGTGAATGAGCTGCATACCCTAGAGTTTCTAGTTGACATCATCTTGAAGACAATATCACATTATCTTATTTGTTTTTCTTTTCTTCTTCCTACCTTAATGACAGTACTTGAACTTGAGGGTGGGTCGTTGAATGTCTTATATTGCTCAACATTTTTGTAGACTACCGTGTTTAATGGTATAGGTTCTCTCTCCTCAAATGTAAACATAAGATTTTTTAAACAATAATCTGTAAGTCTTGGTGGCTCATGTTATTAGCATTGTTTGATCTCGCTTTTGTTAAATTATAGCCTAAGAACATATTGCATGTAAGTTTAGGCGTTTTGTTACACGAAGTAACATTAGAGCCAAGTAAGGAGTACTATGGGCATGAAGTTTCAGTTCGAAAAAAATTACAGCTCAAAGTGTTTTGATATTGGAGTACTAAAATGCACAATTCCTTGTTGAAATGCAGGCTTACCAAGAAAGAGATGAAAAAGCTCTTTTGATCATCCAATCATCTTTGGCAATATTTTTCTAGGAAACAACAATAGAACGTTTGTGGCTCAAGATGGAGCAACAAGCATCAAGTTAGAAGGGTTAACTTTTAGGTCACAAGAAAAGATCCCAAATAAAGTAAAGCATGAGATGTGGGAGAACCTGACGAGGAGACCAAGCATACTAGATTTTTTATAACATAGTGAATCTTTATGTTAGATTGTATCATTAAGTCGTTCAAGGCATGGAGGCAAAATTTAAATATGCAAAAAAATTAAATTTAGGAGAACTTTTAATGGATGCACTTCAATATATAAAAATGTGTTTTAGATCTTTCGTCGTCATACGACCTTTACTTTGGGGCGTTAGAAGCTTGAATGTTTGTCATGGAGATGAGGAGTTATAAAAGAGATCTAGATTTTGCCATTGTAAAACCTTATTTTGTGCACTCCATCAAGATTGTCTGCAAACCATGGAAAATTTGAATTCTAGCTCGATCAATCTAGCAACATTGATCGAGCAGATTGAAGATAGGGTCCAAAAAAAAACCAGCATAGCGCCAATCAAAATGAAGCTCTCCACCAACACTCCATCTAAGTTAACCAAATCATCCAAAATTATTAACACGAACAATGCACCAAAACATGAATAGACTCACTTCACAAACTCTAGAAGGGTTTACCCTATTTGACCTAGTTTGTGGCAACCAACTCAATCAAATCTAGTTGCTCCAATGATACAATTAGATCACTTCATGAACAAAGAAATTTTCATGCTAGAATTATCCTTTGCCACACTGCAATGGGTCGCTAGCACATCTCCATGTCACTATCAAGCATCAACCGCCTGCAAGTCATCCAGATGTTTGACTCTTGACTCTCCAAACTTACCACATGAACCACATCAT